TTTTCGGCCCTTGGGGGCCCTCGCTGGGCCTCGGGACCGTCAAACAACGACTCACTCAGGACGAAAAACCGGTCCCGGGGAAAGGGTCAGGACTTCAGGGACGCCGTCCTGAAAAAATCAGGGCGTCGCATGTCTGGGCTCGGACCTCCCGCAAGCAGTACTGATTCAAGACGACGCTCTCCTGTCCCCAGCGGCCCGATGGGAAGCAGCTCTCAAGCGGTATATAGCTGGTGCCCCCGCTCTCCCGGAGAGGGGGGTTCGGGAGTCAGCCCTCGAAGCCGAGCGGCTCACCGTAGGCTCTGTGCAGGACGCCGTCGAAGTGGCAACTTCTTGAGCGGAGTTTGAGCGGCTCCAGCTGGAGCTGTTGTCCCGTGGCTCTGAGGAGAAGAAGGTACCGATACCGCTACCCTTTCCTCGGTTTCGCATCCTTGGGCCGCTGGGGCGGCCCTCGCCGCCACGGCTGGATTCGCCGGATTTCTGGTTAGAACGCACCCTGGGAAGAGGTCCTGGGAGGAGCCGTATGGGTACCTGTTGATCCCCCCAGAGTCGGTTGTCAGAAATTGTGTTTCCAAGACGGATGGCGTGTTCTGGGCGGAGTGAGAGGAGGCCGTTTCGCCACCGAGCTGCGCGGTTGAAGCGGGGTTCCACGGTGCTGGTTATTGATTGTGTTGGTCGCCCTTGTCCCCGCCGTCGCCTGCCCGCTCCCCTCCCTGCAACCAGCCTCGCGACCCACCCCGCGGGTCCGCCAGCGACCCGCCCGCGCCCCGGCGACGACCCGCCCGCCGCCAGCGACCCCGCCGTGGCGCGGCCGCGCCCGCGGTGGCGCGGCCGCCCCGCGCCCCCCCCCCCGGCGACCCGCTGGCGACCCGCCCCGCGACCGGCCCAGGCATCGGCCCGCGACCTGCGCCCGCGACGGGCCGAGGGACGGGCGGTCCGCCCTCTCGCCGCGCTCGCCGTGGCGACCCGAGCACCCCTCCGCACCCCCTCCCCAGGCCCCCTCGAGTTATGACAAAATCATGACGGGAGTTTTTCCATCATTTTTGGCCTTCGAGGGCCCTTACCGGCCCTCGGGACCGTCAAGAAACGACTCAGGACGAAAAACCGGTCCCTGGGAAAGGCTCCAGACCGCTCCGCACCCCTCTGCACCTCCTCCGCGGCTCGGGGGGGGCCTGTGCGGCCGCCGCTCGCGAGGCCCTCGGGGGTCGCCTCTGCTCCTGCTGCCCCTGCCGGCGGTCGCTGCTGCCTCCCGCCGGCCGCGCGGAGGCAGTGGCCGACGTAAGGGGGCAGCACCAGCCGGGCGAGCTGTCGCCAGTGCCGCAGCGCAGGCGCAGCACGGCCGGCTCCGCGACGGATGCGCTGTACGATGACATCCCTGACGACATCAGCATCACTTTAGCAGGCATGAGCTCTGTCGCCGTCTGGGGGTCGCACAGCTCCGGACATTACGTGAAGCACTTGAGGAGGTTCATGGCCAAGACCTGGGTCGAGTTCTTTTGGTTGTTCTGCATCTTGGTGAACACAATTTGCATGATGATTGAGGAGCAGTACCTTGGCGCACTCGAGGGGTACCGACTGGGCTACTACCAGGAAACGGGCTCGAACAGGTACCCAAGTCTCGAGGCCGTTCTGGAGGCCAGCGATTGGACCTTCGCCGGCATATTTACCATAGAAATTATCATGCGGCTGGTAGCGATTGGACGACGTTTCTGGTCCAGTCCTAGCTGCGTCGTGGACCTGCTGGTCGTGATCGCCACGGACGTCGGGCTCGCGCTGAGATCACGCGTCAACCTGCAGGTGCTCCGGCTGATGCGCCTCACCCGGCTTGTGAGAATCCTTAGGCTGATAAGGAGCATGGAGACCATCGAGACGTTTCAGCTGATGGCGACTTCGCTGCGGGCCTGCGTGACCAGCGCGACCTGGGCAATCATCGTCCTCTGTGTTGGCCTGACCGTCTTCGCGTTGCTCATGACGATGATCGTTCGCGATTTTTACTTGCAAGAGGAGTCCAACTCGAATCTGACTCTGGAAGAGAAGCTTGAGCTCTTCGAATACTTCGGCTCGTACTCGCGGAGCATGGTGTCGATGTTCGAGCTTGCGCTGGCAAACTGGCCAGTGATTTGCCGCTTCCTGCAGGAGGACCTCTACGAGGGCTGGGCGGTCGCTGCAATATTCTACAAGCTCACCGTCGGCTTCGCGATGATCGGAATTCTCGACGCTTTGCGTGGTCCCACCGGCCCAGATAACAGAACTAGAGCCATAACATAAACCGGGGGGGGCGACAAGGGTGAACTGACGGATCCGTGGACGGGGGTGGGGTGGAGGGGCGGGCCAGGGGGGATGGACGGGTGGGTGGAAGGGAGGCGCAGGCCCCAGGGGAGAGAGAGTAAGGAGAGATGGCCATCAGAAAGTTGGATGCCACCTACGCGTAAGTCGGGCGTGTCCCTGTTCAGGAGGAAAATTCAAAAATAGTAAAAAGCACTCTGGGGAAGATGTTTCGAGTAGTTTTTTTTTGTAGTATGTTTGAACATGTGTGACTAGCTTTAATGTTTCCTCGAAGATCCGCCTGTATGGGGACCTGCTCGACCTAAACCCACGGCTAGATGGCTCGTTGGATTCTGAATGCAGTGTTCATGCAGGAGACCTTCTCAGCGATCGAGATCGATGACTCGATCATGGTCGCCAAGAAGCGTCGGGCCGACAAGGCCCACAGCAAGAAGATGCTGAGGCTGTTCAAGCACGTGGACGGCCCAGCACACCCGGATCGGTCCTTTGGGGCTCGAGCACCCGGCAGAATAACCACCCTGACTCTCTACTGAATGCCACGTGCGCTTACTAGGCGGCCTTGTCGTGTTCGATCCCCTCCTGGGCACACTTTCCTGAAGGCCCGCGGCTGCGGGGGTGCTCGTTGCGCGGGTGGTGCTTCCGCCTTGTAGACCAGGCCGCTGATTCGGCCGATATACCGATCGATGCGGATCGGGGCA